TAAAGGGGAGTCCTCTTAAGCCTCTCTAGAAAAACAGTTCCCTTTTTGCTGGGGTGAGTACTAATTACCTGTAGCCCTTCTGAATCCGTCTCCTCTATAATGGAAAGAACCCCAGCCTAGGGCTGGGGTCTCACTCCAGTCTCAAAGCCAGGCCACTTTACCATTCCACGCCAAGCAACCAGCCTGTTGTCAGTCGCTAGGCAAAAAGATAAATTTTAAAATTCGCGAGACTTGCTTCCACTCTCGTGAGACCTCCTGCACGTTACGCCTCACCCGGAAAGGCTCTCTGCGCAGGAAGAAAATCAAGGGGCCACGGAAAGCCTCTCTGGGCGGCCAAGTCGCCTGTTTGTCTATGGTTTTAGTAAATGCGTCTGTTACGGCATCTAGCGGCTGCGGGTGGCAACGCCGGTTGATAAATTTCGGGCTGGTATAGAGTTAGCCCTCCAATCTGGAAACAGGGTTTGCGTTTGTTCCCCTAGGACAACAATCTCTGGGGTTGCAGTTCCTCCCAGATCAGTCTTACAGGAATGTAGACACACTCTCCAGGGGAAATTCCGCAGCACTCTGTACGTCCTTTTCTAGCACTATATTACATTGTAATCTTTCCCCTCCACAGGGTGCCATGGCATGGGACATACTTACAGTAATAAATTATTCCTTGTGTATCTGAGGTTCAAAGTTTACTCTGTGTCCTGTCTTTCTTATTTGCTAAAGAAGACTGTGAACTTATTTAAAGCAGGATCTGTGTCTAATTAATTTTTAAACTTTGTAACACCAGTACATTGCAGAAATTAGACACTAACAATGCTCATCGGGTGGATGAATCGAGGAATGAGTGAATGGAGACGTAAGGAACACATATTTTCAAACTGTGGACATAATTAATTTGGGAAGTCAGGGAGAGAGAAACATAAAATATTGGAGGCCGGGTGTGGTGGCTCATGCCTGTAATCCCAGCGCTTCAGGAGGCGGAGGCGGGAGGATTGCTTGAGTTCAGGAGTTTGAGACCAGCTAGAGCAACATAGCGAGAAACGCCCCTCTCCACTCTATTAAAAATAAAAATTAAAAATTAAAAAAAAATTAGCCAGGTGTGGTGGCAGACGCCTGTAGTGCTAGCCACTCGGGAGGCTGAAGCAGGAGGATTGCTTGAGCCAGGGAGGCAGAGGTTGCAGTGAACCGAGATTGGACCATTGCATTCACTCCAGCCTGGGCAACAGATCGAGACCCCATCTCAAATATAAATAATGAATCATAATAATAATTTTTTGGCTGGGCACGGTGGCTCACACCTGTAATCCCAGCACTTTGGGAGGCCAAGGTGGGTGGATCACAAGGTTAGGAGTTTGAGACCAGCCTGACCAACATGGTGAAACCCCCATCTCTACTAAAAACACAAAAATTAGCTGGGCATGGTGGTGTGCACCTGTCATCCCAGCTACTCGGGAGGATGAGGCAGGAAAATTGCTTGAACCTGGGAGGCAAAGGTTGTGGTGAGCCAAGATCGCGCCACTGCACTCCAGCCTGGGTGACAGAGCGAGACTCCATCTCAAAATAATAATAATAAATTTTAAAAAGAAAATAATATTGGAAATTTGATCCTGAAAACCTGCCAGAGGAAAACAAGGAAAGTGGCTTTTAAAAATGAGAGACACCTTTTCTGGGATACTGATAGTCAAAAATGGAACTGCATTAAAAAAAATTTTGTGATGTATTTTGCTCGTAATAGTGGATATGTAATGTGGAATACTTACTATGTAGGAGCACTTAGATTTTTTGCAGGGGAGCACTTAGATTATATCATCTAATTTACTTCACAACCTTATGAAATAGATGTTACCGCCAATTTACAGATTAGGTAATTGAGGCTTAGACAGTTAAAGTAACTTGCCTGAAGTCACTCAGCTAATAAGTCCTGAAAACAGCAGCCAAACATAGGTCAGTCTGATTCCTAAGTCTCTGCTTTTAACCATTATAATATACTGCCACTATGGGACTCCTCGAGAAGAATGCTTACAAGGTTGATTTTTCTTCTGTGGTTTAATTCAGTTACAGTTATATTTCCGAAGAATCAGCATCAATTGGTCTTGCACAGCTTCTGAGATCCAAGTCAGAAGACCTGGAAGGTGCCGCAATAAGGCAATAGTTTCTAACAGGATTTTTACTTTTCTAAAAAAATAAGAATTTGTTTCCATCTTTCTTAAAACATGTCTGCTTAAGTAACAAAAATTAAAATTTCTCCAGGCGAGATGGCTCATGCCTGTAATACTAGCACTTTGGGAGGCCGAGGCCGGTGGATCACCTGAGGTCAGGAGTTCAAGACCAGTTGACCAACATGGGGAAACCCTCGTCTCTACTAAAAATACAAAAATTAGTCAGGTGTGGTGGTGCATGCCTGTAATCCTAGCTACTCGGGAGGCTGAGACAGGAGACTCGCTTGAACCCGGGAGGCACAGGTTACAGTGAGTTGAGATGGCACCACTGCACTCTAGCCTGGGCAACAGAACGAGATTCCATCTCAAAATAAATAAGTAAATAATAAATAATAAATAAAAATTTACCCCATAAATGTGTACAATTGTTATCTTTTTTAGGACATTTCATCATCCCCTAAAGAAAGCTTGTACCCATTGTCACTTTTTTTTTTTTTGAGACAGGGTCTCACTCTGTTGCCCAGGCTGGAATACAGGGGTGAGACCTCAGCTCACTGTAATCTCTGCCTGCCGGGTTCAAGCGATTCTCCCACCGAGTAGCTGGGACTATAGCCACACACCACCACGCCCAGCTAATTTTTTTTTTTTTTTTTTTGTACTCTTAGGAGAGATGAGGTTTCACCATGTTGGCCAGGATGGTCTTGATCTCTTGCATCCACCTCAGCCTCCCAAAGTGCTGGGATTACAGGCATAAGCCACCCTGCCCAGCCAGGAAAAAACTGACTTTGAACTTGGCTCTACCACTTACTAGTTGTGTGAGTTTGGACAAATGCTTAACTTTTTTGATCCTCAGTATCTTTATTTGGATTGTTGTAAAGGATTGGAAATAACATGTGTAAAGTACCTGACACAAATTAAGCACTCAATTAAAAGTTGCTATTATACTTAATTGTGGACATACAGGTTTAATATGGGTGAGTGCTGTTGGGTTGAGCTAAGGATGTGGGATAAAATGATTTAAGGATGAACTACTGAATCAGCTATACTCTGAAAAATCTGAAATTTGGCATACAAGAAATAACATGAGAATCACAAGAACAGAGTTTGAGTCCTGGTTCCATCATATACTGGTTTAGAAACTTTGGGTAAGTCCCTTAAACTTTTCATCATTTTCTTCATATACAAAATGGACATAAGCACAACTGCCCTGCTTCCTGTGCATGTTTTTTTTTTAAAGATATAATTTACAAATCATAAAAATTCACCTTTTAAAAGTATACAATTTAGTGGTTTTTAGTATATTTGCCTCTATCTAGTTCCAGAACTACTATTTTTTGTTTGTTTGTTTTTGTTTTAAGAGTCTAAGTCTCACTATTTTGCACAGGCTGACCTTTAACCCCTGGTCTCAAGCCATCCTCCCAACTCAGCCTCCCAAGCAGCTGGGACTCTAGGATCATGCCACCATGCCTGGCTTAATTCCAGAATGTTTTAATTATTTCAGAAATAAATCTCACACTAATTAGCTCTCAGTCCCTATTCCTACCATTCCTGAGCCCCTGGAAACCACTAAGCTAGTTTCTGTCTCTGTGGGTTTTCTTCTGTTCTGGATCTTTCATATTAATTGAATCATGTATGAGTGCCCCATTGTATCTGTCTTTTTTCACATAATATTTTCAAGGTTCATCCATATTGTAGCATGTCAGTACCTTATTCTATTTTGTGATTAAATAATATTCCATTCCATATATATGCCACATCTATTGATGAATGGATTTGTTTGGATTGTCTCCACTTTCTGGCTACTATGAATAAAGTTGCTATGAACATTAGGGTACACATTTTTGTGTTGACATATATTCAGTTCTCCTGGGTATGTACCTATGAGTAGAATTGCTCAGTCATATGGCAATTTTGTTTAACTTTTTGAGGAACTGCCAAACTCTTTTCCAACGTGGCTGCACTATTTCACATTCATCCTCACCAACAATTATTATGATAGCCATCCTAGTGGGTGTGAAGTGGTATCTCACCATGGGTCTGATTTCCATTTCCCTAAGGATATTCAACATTTCTTAATGTGCATATTAGCCATTTACATATCTTCTTTGGACACATATCTATTCAGATCTTTTGCTCATTTTAATTTTTTGTTTTCTACTCTCTCCATTTTGCAGATGAAGCCCATTTTTAGACAGGAATACTGTATTTGTCTTCTTATTGCTGAGTTATAAGAGTTCTTAGGCTGGGCGCGGGGGCTCACGCCTGTAATCCCAGCACTTTGGGAGGCTGAGACGGGTGGATCACTTGGGGTCAGGAGCTCGAGACCAGCCTGGCCGACATGGCAAAACCCCTTCTCCACTAAAACTACAAAAAACAGCCGAACGTAGTGGCCCGTGCCTGTAATTCCAGCTACTCGGGAGGCTGAGGCAGAAGAACCCCTTGAACGTGGGAAGCGGAGGTTGCAGTGAGCCGACATCGCCCTATTGCGACAGAGTGGGCGACAGAGTGAGACTCCATCTCAAAAAAAAAAAATTTTTTTTATTTATATATATTCCGGATACTAGTCCTTTATGCACACGGGTTATCTTGTATATTTATTAAATAATAGTGGCTGTGCCAGCGGCTTAATAAACTGTAAGATGTGACGCAAAATAAATGAAGGCGATGACAGTGAAACGGCAGAGATATAAGGTTCCACAGTCGGGGGGTGAACGCTCCCTACACCTCCTGGGCACAGTCTTAACCCGAGCAGGGTACCCTCAATTTCCCCAGCCCGCAGGCCCCGCCCCGCCCCGCCCTTTGACCTCCGCCGCTTCCGGTTGAAGACGTGGCTCGGGGCCGCCATCTTGGCAAAAGGCGAAGCGGCAGCGGCTCCTGTCAAGCGGGCAGCAGATCCAGAGCGGCCCGTGCTCCCCTTCCCCAGACCCTCCCCCTATCCCCAGTGGAGCCGGAGAGCGGGCGCGCCCCACCACCGCCCTCACCATGGTAAGATCCGAGCCAGGACCCGAACTCCTGGGGTCCGAGCCTCACAGTCTCTCCCTGTCGGCGGGCCTGGGGCCGGGGCCGGAGGAGCCCCGCCCTGAGGGTCTAGGGCCGGGTGCTTTGCTCGGGGCTCTGGGAGCAATGTGGCCTCCTGTGCCCGGTCTCCTGGAGATCCGACGGAGCTGACTTCAGTCCATCTGTCGTCGTGCCCGCTTCCCCACCACCCCCCAACCAGCTGGACTCCCTCGTCTGCTGGGACCTGCCCCTGAGACGGCCCGGCGTTTTTGCCTGCGAGAACTTCGTGGTGGTGGTGCGGGTCCCAGGCTGCGGACCTCGGAACTGATGCTGTCCTGCCGGTTCCCTGGCGCTTGGGTTCAGCAAGCTGGGCCTGTCTCCGGAGGTTCTGGTCCTTCTTGTTAACCAGCTTGTCTCCCACCCCCGGTATTTGCTAGGCCGTTGATAACTCGAAATGCAAATCCACTGGTGTCCAGAAATTTTTCTTTTGTTTGTTCAGAAGGGAGAAATGGAGACACAGAGCGGAAAGGAGTAACTTCTAACATTAATTTATAGGACCCAAGTGTCCCTGAAACCTTCCACTACTTCCGTAGAACTCACTTGTGTCCATTTGTTAGTGTGACTCAGGGTACATACACTGTGTAGACCACTGGGAAAATGTGAGCAAGTTCCAGAGAACACAGGGTTTGCCTTCAAGCAACTTATTGTTCAGATGAAGTAAAATGTGTATGTGGCATGTCGTAGTCAGATGTCTCACAGGAGGAGGAGTAAGAGGGGTGAGTTATCCTCTGAGACCAGTTACTTGTCTTCACATGCGTTATGTTTGTATACTTATCTGTTACAAGGATGAGAAAGGTTAATGTGGTTGAGGATGGAGGAAATTAGAACTGCTGACATCACTCAATCTTCCTTTATCGCTGTGATTTGTAGATATTCATAAAGTAGTAGACATTCTTTGGTTTCAAAAAAGCTAGTAGTTTATTTTTCAGTGCACCTTATGTCCTTTAATCTTTTGAAGGATATTCTGTTCTGTTCTTTTTTATTTTTTTGTCAATAGATAACTTGATTTAAAACATCGTCCAGTGTACCTGAGAGATGACAGAATGTAATTTGGTGCCAATCCTAATCAGTTCTATTGACAACCCTGTAGATAAGAACTTGGATAATGGGGGGAACTCATGCTTGAGCTTTAAGCCACTGAACAGCTTTTCTCAGCCTCAGGTATATAAATTGCATCAAACAGGTTTGCCTCCTAAAATTTTTGTGTTGGACGTAAAATTTACAGAAACTTGTATTTTCAGTTTCTCCAGGAGGTCCTGTATTTGGTTAGTGATTTTGAAACTCAGTTCCTGTTTACACCCTGGAATTAATAGTGCATTTTAGAGCATATTTTTATTTTAATGGTAAAGTTAAGGTCTTGTATTATGTAAACCAGATATAGATAATCTTTATAAAAATCTTATTTGTTAAAAGGTTATTGGAATTTAGTATTTTTAATTCATTGATAACTGAGGGATGGTAAAGCCCTACATGATATATATAAAATATAACTTTTGCATGCTATTTTGACATGTGTACGTATACATAGAGTTGTGTCACATATTTCTGAATTATTTGGGACTTAGCATGATCCAGATACCCACAGATTTGTGTACTCTGGAGAATAATTTATCTCAGTACATTCTGCTCTGTAGAATCTTAAGACATTGGTGTTATTTCTGTGTAATGTTTTTGGGTCCTGCTCCTTTACAAACATATCCCTGGACAGTAGAAATGTCCAGATAGGGTGAAATATTGATCTGAAAGTTGTATCAAAACTTCTAGCAATTTATTTTAGCTCAACATTTCATTATGAAATTTTCAAACATCTGGAAAAGTTGAAAGGACTTTGTAGTGAATACCCGTGTAACCACCAGCTAGATTCTGTAACTAACATTTCACTATATTTCATCATGCATCTAACCATCCATCCATCCCTCTCTCCATTAAAAAAAATATACATTTCAAAGTAAGTTGGCCGGGCGCGGTGGCTCAAGCCTGTAATCCCAGCACTTTGGGAGGCCGAGACGGGCGGATCACGAGGTCAGGAGATCGAGACCATCCTGGCTAACACGGTGAAACCCCGTCTCTACTAAAAAATACAAAAAAACTAGCCAGGCGCGGTGGCGGGCGCCTGTAGTCCCAACTACTCGGGAGGCTGAGGCAGGAGAATGGCGTGAACCCGGGAGGCGGAGCTTGCAGTGAGCTGAGATCCGGCCACTGCACTCCAGCCTGGGCGGCAGAGCGAGACTCCGTCTCAAAAAAAAAAAAAAAAAAAAAACTAGCCGGGCGAGGTGGCGGGCGCCTGTAGTCCCAGCTACTCGGGAGGCTGAGGCAGGAGAATGGCGTAGACCCGGGAGGCGGAGCTTGCAGTGAGCTGAGATCTGGCCACTGCACTCCAGCCTGGGCGACAGAGCGAGACTCCGTCTCCAAAAAAAAAAAAAATAAATAAAAAAAAGTAAGTTGCAGATATCAGTACATAAACATTGATTTTTTAAAAATAAATTCCTTTTGGCTTTAGTTATTGAAGTGCACAATGTCCTAGACTGCAAAGTTCCAATAGATAAATAAGTGAACAAATGCAAAAACAAATGCCTTCTCATGACTTCATCATAAAGTAAAGTACAAAGAAAGGCATCTTTTGATTTACTTATATTTTTAAGAGACAGGGTCTCACTATGTTGCCCAGGCTGGAGGGCAGTGGCTATTCACAGGCACTATCACAGTGCACTGTGGCCTGAAACTCCTAGCCTCAAGCGATCCTCCCACCTCCATCTCCCGAGTAGCTGGGACTGTAGACATGCGGGCCTTGATTTGATCTTTTTCTTGTATTCTGCAAATTAATGAGAACATGTTCTGACCTTTTTTCTTGTTTGTTTGGTTTTCGAGACTGAGTCTCACTCTGTCTCCAGGCTGGAGTGCAGCGGCACAATCTCAGCTCACTGCAACCTCCACCTCCCGCGTTCAAGCTATCCTCCTGCCTCAGCCTCCTGAGTAGCTGGGACTACAGTCGCATGCCGCCATGCCCAGCTAATTTTTTGTATTTTTAGTAGAGACAGGGTTTCACCATGTTGGCCAGGATGGTCTCTATCTCTTGACCTTGTGATCTGCCCTCGGCCTCCCAAGGTGTTGGGATTACAGGCGTAAACCACCGCGCCCAGCCCCTTTTTTTCATATATGATACAGCAGCAGCACAGCTATTGTATTCTTTTTTTTTTTTTTGAGACGGAATCTTACTCTGTCACCAGGGCTGGAGTGCAGTGGCGCGATCTTGGCTCCCTTCAATCTGTGCCCCCCAGGTTCAAGCTATTCTGCCTCAGCCTCCCAAGTAGCTGAGATTACAGGTATGTGCCACCATCTCCAGCTAATTTTTCTATTTTTAGTAGAAATGTGGTTTCACCATGTTGGCCAGGCTGGTCTTGAACTCCTGACCTCAAGTGATCCTCCCACCTCAGCCTCCCAAAGTGTTGGAATTACAGATTGAGCCACCATGCCCAGCACTGTATTCTTTATGTATCTTTTTAATTGTGTTTTGAGAGGACAGCAGAGAATGAAAATGATTCTCTTGAGTTTCCATTGATTTGCCATCTATTTATGTCTTCATATAGAAGTTCACTGCAGAAACTGATAATGGGTGTGTGTGTGTGTGTTTTAATTCTCTACAAGCTTTTGTTTTAGAATAGAAATGTGATGGATTTAAAACCCTCACTGAGTGAATTACTTTTCAAGTTTTAGGTTTTGTATGTGGTCTACATTTTATTGTAATCTTCTTTCTGATTTTATCTATAATAGTTTCACGTAAATAGGAAAGACAGAACAGTCCTCCCTGACAATTATAGAAACTAGCCTTAGTATGGCCATGAATCGTGTGTGTGTGTGTATAAAATATTGCAGTGAATTACAAAGGAGAAGGTGACTATAATTCTGAAAGTAAGGAATCCTGAAGCATTTAGAGGTTCAAGAAAGAACTTGACTTTTTTTGAGAGAGAGTTGTGCATATTTATGCTGAATTATTATACCACCTGTTATTCTTGTACCTCTCTTGCACACACAATTTGTTATGGTTAGACAGTTTGCCGTCTTGCAGCCTAATACTAACATAAAATATTGTTCCAAAGTGGTTAGAACTGGAGCAGTGGGTATAAAATGGAAGTTTGTACGTTTTCTGTCACTGTGTTTGTTTTTTTTTTTCTGTTACTGTAGTTTTCAAATGCTTAGACTTATAGAACTTTAAAGACACAGCACTTTGGATTTCATATAAACTAACGTCCTACTTTAGGGATATTTCAATAATCAATTAAGTGACTTATCCAAGGTCACATGATTAGTGGCAAAGGCAGAACAGAAACCTAATTCTCCAGGTTTCTTAACTTGAGGCACTTAACAATTCATGTAGTTAAGTCTGTGTAGCAGAGAGTTGTTATTTAGTCCAAAGATAGTGTACTCAAACCATGTAAGAGTTATTAAAAGTTGTTTGGCAAAGCTTAATTTAATGGGGGAATTTTTTTTTTTTTTAAGCAGTCCTGGAGAGATCATCTAACTTATGGGCCCTCAGTTTTCACATCTATAAGACAATCAAGACAATCAACCTTTTAGATCTGGAATGTTTTTTTCCAAAAATGTTAAAAAAACAAAAACTTTGTAATCATGTTTATTAATTCTTCCTCGGAGAAAATCAGATCAAATTTCAATAGGGAAAATTGTTAACTTACCTTTTAGTATATGCTATATTTTAATAATTGTTAAACCAGTAAACATTGATATGAAGAGGTTTATTATTTCAAGAACTTTAAGAAGACAAATGTTAATTTAGGATAGGATAAATTTATCATGTTTAGAGGTGACCATACGTTCTAGCCGTGTTAGTAGCTATAACAGAGAGACCTATGTCAACTGCCTAGAACCTGTGATTTGTGGTGTCCTGGATGTTTTGATATTTATGCTATACT